GTGTGTGTGTGTGTGTGTGTGTGTGTGTGTTTTAGTGGAAATCCCATTTGAAGACAGGGAAATTGTTCAGGATGAAAGCAAAATACATAATTTATCATTTTTCCAAAGAAGAGTAGACACCCACTTCCAGAATTTATTTAACTTGTAATAAGGCTGTAATCTGTGGTATCATCCCTAGTAGGACATTTTAGCATTTTCCTAAAGTTGCTTTGGTTTAACAGTTTTTATGAAATGTTAGCTCCATGCACAGCAAAATTTCTCTCCAAGGAGATAAAGTGACTTGCCTAAATTGACAGCTGGTGACAGGAAAAAAATGAATTTCCTAATTTTTAAATGTAGTTTCAAAGTTACATAAATCAGAGAAAACAGGAGAAGTAAATATATTCCATTTAACTTTCTATCATTTTGGTTGTGGCTGCTGTTTTAATGCAGATGAACCCTTAAGTTCAAATCTCTTGTTAATCTTAATTTCTTTTCTGTTTCCCTCTCCACAATTTCAATTTTTTAATAGGAGTTTTAACTTACTTACTGATATACATTCTATGATAACTTCAAAGTTTTAAAGTTACATATATTTTTAATTTACTCTGCTGTTTTCAGCTACATTAAAGCCCAAATTGGCTCTTCTAAAATTCAGAATGACAGTTTACCTGTTCTTTTACTAAGTTCACAAATGGGTAATATAATTACTTTATTTACTTTGGCACCTCTAAAAAATCATTGCAAATGTGATAAGTTTTAATTGTTTATGGAAATCAACTTATATGCAAACAACTTAAAATCTATTTTCATTCCCTACAATTTGCATTTCTGCATTTCAGATTGGCTTGTGCTGCAATGTGATGTGAAGTTTGATTGCTAATTGCTTAACTACATAGACAGTTTCAAGAGGCACAAAGCTATAAACAATCTTCATAAAAGTGTGGGTTAGAAGAAGCCTGTTCTGTGAATACTGGAAGGTGTGCCGAAGATGGCCAGCATTTATTCTGGTTTATTCAAAGGCCAATCATGACAGATGATGATCAAGTGGCCTATTGCCAATGACTCATTCTTTTCATTCAATTCCCCCCATGACTCGTGGTTATTATTTTGTTACCCGGTATGTTTAAAAACATAAATAAGAGGGTGATATGAAATTGTTTATTCTCTTTATTTCTTACCTCAGAATGCAATTTCAGGAAAGCCCCTGAGAGGTAAGCTCTTTCGGGTAGACTTGCTGATACCTTCAGCACTAATCATCGTGCACATGTGCTGCCTCACACCGGCTTTCAAGGTTAAGATTGTAGAATTTCAAGCTGGAGGGCCCCTAAAAATTATCCAGTCACTCCCAGTCATTGTGTAGATGAGAAAATTAAGGACTAGAAAGACTGAGTGACATGCCCAGTGTCACACAGCTAGTTAGTAAGGAAGGTAAGAAGAGAGCCCAGAAGTCTGGATCCGTAGGCCAGTGCTTCCTCCCCTGATTCCTCTTTAGGATTCCAGTTTGATTTCTGTCTAAGCTGTACCTTTTATATAGTTAATTCAAGGTTTCCTGAGTTCTAATCCAATAGCCTACCAGATGGTTGCATAGTAAAAAAAAAAAAAAAAAGCATAGTAAAGGTCAAAAGTTTAAAGAGGCAGCATCCTGATACTGGGCCAAGAGCAATGAGTTAGGTCTCTGAAGCCGAGGGTTTTTTCTGTTCACCATCAGGTGACATGATGAAGTTTTCAGGCTCGCTGAGCATGAGTGTCCTCCACTGTAAAACAGAAAGGTAAGGAGAAGATCAATGAAATAGTGTAGGTGGAAGCAGCCAACACAGAATGGTGTTCAATAATTGTTCAATCTGAATTGATTGGATAACCCAGGCACCCAAGTAAATGGCAGCACAGGACTCATAAAACCACTTTAAACTTGATTCCTTCTCTGGAAAAAATTATCCCAGTGGACCCATTCAGTCAAGAACTATTTGTTGAACACCTACCATGTGCCCACTAGGCACTGTGCTAGGTACAAGGGATAAAATAGTAGCATAAAGACAGGGTCTCTACTCTCAGCAGTTACACAGACTAATGGAGGACACAGAGAAGTTGACAGGCAATGACCTGTTCTGACGGCACCACACAGAGGAGGGGACCTTAACCTAGACCAAGAGGACTGGGGACGATTCTCCAGAGGAAGCCACTTGGGAGCTGAGACCTGACAGAGAAGCAGGAGTGACCCAGACTGACAGCAATGGGTGAAATGGTCCAGGAAGAAAAAATACAATGTGAGAGTTAGAGGTAAAGGAGTTTAATGCCCTGGGGCAGTGGTTGGCAAACTGCGGCTCAGCAAACTTCGGCTCGCGAGCCACATGCGGCTCTTTGGCCCCTTGAGTGTGGCTCTTCCACAAAATACCGACTTCTGCCTTCTGCACATGGGCCATGAAGTTTCAATCGCACTGTACATGCACGCCCGCATATGGTATTTTGTGGAAGAGCCACACTCAAGGGGCCAAAGAACCGCATGTGGCTCGCGAGCCGCAGTTTGCCGACCACTGCCCTGGGGAAATGAAGGAAATTGATTATGCCCTGGTTAGAGTGCAGCTTGAGGCTGCAGAAGAGGCTGAGGTCAGATCTGATAGGCCAGTTTAATGTACTTATCCTAATAGCAATAGAAAACTGAAAATTTTTAAATTACAAAGTGAAGCAGTAACATAAATGGCTGTTTCAATGAGGCATCAGGGTTTTTTCTTAACTTTGAATTCTTTTAGCGGCATGAACATATCAATGTATGTTCAGGTCAGTTTTTAAATAACTCATTCTCTTTTGTTCATTATTCATGTAAATCGTTAGTCAAGTTATAACCACCCCCACTGGATCTTCATTTTTTAAAAAGTTACATAGGCAAGTTGATTAATTTTAGTCAAAGTGACCACAGGGCCCACAATCACAAGTGACCAGTAGGGATGAAAAAATATTTACATGCACTACAAAGTTTTAAACATTTCCAGCATTTGAATTCAGAAGAAAAGACAGGAAGGACCAGGATAAGAACCCAGAGTGAATACATAAACAAACAAACAAACAAAAAAAAACTGTGAAAATATGCTCTAAACCGTGCGCCTATTAAAACCACCACGCCCAGTCTATTCGCAAGATGCGAACGCTCTGGAAAGCTGGGGCACCACTGATGAGCTTTGCCAGACAAACCGGTCATGCCCAGCAAACGGGGCCTCAGTGGAAAAAGGAGAAACTGTGTTTGCCAGAAGTGATACCATGACCAGCAAACTTTTCCTGAACCTCAGCCTAGAATTTGGCTCTGCCAATGCACCCAACAGCTGAGGTTCTGTCCCAGGGCTGGTGAGTCAGGGCCCATCTCCTGTGTTCTTTTAGGCCAGGAAGGGCTTTTACATCAGAAACTCTCCTGTGAACCGGAGACACACATCAGCAAGGCAATGCCAAATTCCATGGGTTTTATTTGTCATTGTAAAGCCCATGAACTAATTTCTGGCCAGCTTTATTTGAACATGTTCTGCACACTTAAGAACTATAAAACAAACAGGAACAGCAACCACTTGCAGTTATGGGGCATTTTTCCTTTTAAAAGCTCAAGGCTTCAGAAGTTGACACAATGTTCTCTGGGAAAAGCACTCCCTTCAAGCTAAATATTTCATTTACTCAAATACAAAAACTGATGGACCACAAACAAGGGGGATGGTAGCAGCTGTGGGAGAAAGAGCTGATGACCAGAGGCTTTGAAGTGGAAATGTGAAAAATAGTAACAAAAAGAGTCTTTCGGGTTAGAAATGTGACAACCGTCTGGGAGATGGGAATAAGGACAGTAGGCAAAGGCTCTTTGCAACTTCTGTTAAATTCTTTTAGCACTTAGTTGTTTAATTGCATATATAATACACACCTTTTAAAACATTATTTATAAAAATAAACAATCCCTTAAAAATGGGCAGAGCACCTGAATAAACATTTATCAAAAGAGGACATACAGATGGCCAATACAGATATCTATGAAAAGATGATCAACATCACTAATCACCAGAGAAATAAAAATTAAACAGCAAGTCATAATGGCTATCAATAAATCAACAAACAATAGGTGTTGGCAAGGATGTGGAGAAAAGAAAACCCTCATACTTTGTTGATGGGATTGCAAATCGGTACAGCCACTATGGAGAATAGTATGGAGTCTCCTCGAAAAATTAAAAATGGAACTGCCTTATGACCCAGAAATTTCACTTCTGGTTATTTATTCAAAGAAATCCAAAATACTAATTTGAAAGATATATGCACCCTTATGTTCATTGTAACATTACTGACAATAGCCAATATATGGAAGCAATTCAAGTGCCCATCAATAGACAGTTGGATAAAGAAGAGGAGGTACATTACAGTAGAATATTACTCATTCATAAAAAAGAATGAAATATTACCATTTGCAACATGGATGGACCTAGATGGTACTATGCTAAGTGAAACAAGTCAGAGAGAGAAAGACAAATACCATAGGATTTCAGTTATATGTGGAATCTAAAGGACAAAATAAACTAACAAAAGAGAAACAGACTCACAGATACAGAGAACAGACTGATGGTTGCCAGATGGCAGGGGAATTGGGGATTGGGTGAAAAAGGTGAAGGGATTCAGAAGTACAAAATGGTAATCAAAAATAGTCATGGGGATGTAAAGTACAACAAAGGGAATGTAGTCAATCATCCTATATAATAAAAGGCTAAATATGCAAATTGTCCCCTCGACCAGAAGTTCCATAAGGAGTTCAACCAGGGGACGGGACGACCGCTCCCCTCAGCCGGCCCTGCCCTGCCCTGATTACCAATCAGGGGGGGCCAGCCAGACCCCACCCATGCACAAATTCGTGTACCAGGCCTCTAGTATTGTAATAACAATGTATGGTGCCAGGTGGGTATTAAACTTACTGGGGAGGATGACTTTGTAAATTATATAAATGTGTAACTCCTATGCTGTACATCTGAAATAAATATAAAATAATACTGAATGTCAACTACAATTTAGGAAATAAAATAAAATTTAAAATGAATATTATATATAAAGCACAAGTTTATTACCCCCAAATTTGGAAAATACAGATAAAGAAAAATGAGAAAAGGTAATTCCAGCATTGAAGTATAATCCCAGTTAACAGTTTTGTAACCATCTTTCCAAATTTCTGTTGCTCTAGTTCCCTCACTTTATCTTTATTTATAACTATATGCACATGATCTCATTTTTATAAAATATAAATTTATATATTCACATTTATGTTTGAAATAGGATCATACTGCACATGCCATTTAAGAATCTTTCTATTCTTAACAATCATGAACATCACCCCCTTGAATATAAATTTGATGATGGTAGAGACTTTGCTTGTTTTGCTGTTTACTTAACATCTACAACAGTACCTTTGTGTAGGAATCCAATAAATATCTATTAATGGAATGAATAATGAGTGAATATTCTTTCAGGTCAATTAAGCATAGATATTTATGCACATATATTAATGTCTACTATACATAATTAAATACTCGCATATATATAATTATCATACTAGCACAGTACCAATCCTATCACCTTGGGTCAAAAGTTATCCCCTTATCAAACCACTTTCAGCCTCCCAGCTCTTTCTCCTCTGATGACCATGGAGGTACCAAAGACTGAGACTTTAACAATTCAGTCCATAACAGAGGTGTCATTTGATAGATGAGTTATCTTAGCCTCAGAAAGGCGAAGTGACTTGCCCAAGGCCAAAATGAGCTTTGCACTCAAGTCCTTCTCATTCCACATCTGTTCTCTGGAGCCTCTGTCCCCTGAGTCCTCACCTCTCACCTACTCCCAGATCATCTGCAGTGGTGCCTGTGGCACACTGTAGGTGTTCCATGAATCCTTGTTGAATGAACAATGACACACCCATAGGAATGAAGCATAGTTGGTTAATGATGAAAAGATACGTGCAGAGATTGGAATGTCCAAGTGAATTGGTCTGGGGGCTGAGAGGGAACTGAAAGGACTGATCTAAGGACATAGTCCAAAGTGGCCCACCTACTAGTAATCTTCCATTCAACAGCCAGAGACGTGAGTATGACGCACCTTGCTTCAGACAAAGTTAAAGGTAATTTAGAGAGGAGATTCCAGCCCAAAACAAAAGCAATAGCTGGATGGTACCCACAGGCCTCTTCAGAAGGACTAATATGATTTGGAATAATAATCACACAAATAAAAAATCTGGGACCTAGAATAAAAAAGTCAGAAAGAAAAACTGCAGGTAAAAGTCTAGAATCTTGAAACAATGAACAGAAACTTGCCACACTATCAGGAATTCTTCCTTCACTACAAAAAAAGGAGATTAAAAGAGTAATGCTCTCTCCTGCTTCTCTAGCTTTGAGATGGCAGCAAACACTTCCAGTGCCCACCCCTACCCCTAGGCCAGCGATTTTCAAACCTTTTCATCGCAAGGCGCACATAAACTAATTACTAAAATTCTGCAGCACACCAAAAATATATATTTTGCCAATCTGACAAAAAATAGGTATAATTTTGATTCATTTACACTGGATGGCTATTGTTGTGTTGGCTGTTGTCAATTTTTTTTTCATTTGACAATCTAAGGGAAAAGAGCTCAGTGTCCTTGACTGAATCATGAGGTATTGCATGTTTTAGGAATTCTAGTGGCACACCAGTTGAGAATCACTACTCTGGGCCCTTACCAGTCTGACTTCTAGACGCCAGTCCCTGCATGCCTCCTCCA